GCTGCCTATCCAGCACTTTTGACTGCAGACTTTTGTGAATGTTTACAGACATGGGTCAAGTTCTTCTCTCCCTTATACTCACAAACAAACTGGTTCTCTATGCTTTTCAGCTGTAAACTACAACTTGATGGTGCTTACATTATCCTGTGAATACAAGTGGGAGCAGAATTTGGACCATGGATTTTTTTAGTATTTTTCCTTGGAAAACGTACATAATTTTAAAGGCATATAGCTAAATTAACTGTTACAATGCAGCATATAGAAAGGTCTTGCTTTGTTAGTGAAATTCAATTGTGCACTCTTCTAATAATGTTAGTACCTGTGGCAATGTGTAACACTTCATTGAGTATCATCTATTTAAGATATACTCTTGATCATGTTCCAGAGACAATAGAGATGAATGATATTCAGTCACGTGATTAAATTAAAATGTAGAGGACAGATACTACACTGTAGAAAAGTTCTGCACCTAGAGTTTTACTTTTTTAAAGATTGATTCTGCTGGGAGATGTTGCTAATGTATTTTCTTTCAAGATGTGAACAACTTTTTTAGAATGTTAACAGAAATTACTGTATTGGTTTTTAACATAATTTTTTTAAATAAAAAGTTTACAGTCATGGCAAAAAGGCTTTGCTGACTATTTACATATTTACCTAAAATACAAATGAATAAACTTGTTTTTACTAAGATATTTCTGATGTTTGGTCTTGCTTATGCTGTTTCTTTATGATGGAGAATTCTGTCCATAACGATAAAATTGACTTCCTAAAGAGTGACAAGAGAGATATCTTATGATTTTTTTAGAAAAATTTGGCAGCAATTGGGTAATCTTATATTTTAATAATCAAATTTATACTCTTGCTTTTTTTTTTCATTTTGTGAAACCTGTTGAATTATTATTCTCCACTCTAGACTGCTTTTAAAATTGGTGCATTTTATCTTGTCTCAAGAAAGCTGTGGAAGAAATCTCTACCATCTTTCATTATACTTTCCTTCTCATTCTTTTCATAATTTGTTCTTTGTAGATTTGTAGATCAATTGGAGAAGGAGAAAATAAAGATATAGGTATCTTATCAAAGCAGATTGACTTTTGTCCCATAAATATGAATGTAAAGTAGTTCAAAGTCAGCATTTTGTAACCATACTGTGGGCCTAAGTTTGATATCCTGTTTTAATCCTAGTTTCCCCATTAATCAATCAAAGTCTGAACTAATTTACATTACCTTTTAGTAAAAAACAAGTAATATGCAGTGTTTTATCAAAAAGTAGGCAGTTTGTACCTCTTTCTCAAAATGTCTATTGGATGGCTGTGGGGTGTGGGGTTTTCTATCTGAACATGGGACAGCTCAGAGATACTGAAGAAGTTGTGAAACCTTGTTTCTCCAAATGCAAACAGGTGAGAAGTCGTGAAAATGCACTATTAAATGCTCTTCTCCTGAAACAGTGTAGTTAATGAGTGGTGTCTAGCCACATCATCCAGAGAAGAGTATTTCATACATAGGTGGGGTAGTTTTACAGACAACTCCCATCTGTGTCAGACAAATGAATAATTTAAGAAGCATTAAACTGTTAAGTTCCTATGTCTTGAATGGCCTCTCTGGTTCTTAGTGAGCAGAATTCTGTAAATTGAACTTTCAGTGCTTAGGATTAAGATAAAATTCAATTTTATAAATATTTCTCCTGATGTAAAATTGTTCTTTATTATTTCTTTTTCTCTTCAGGAATAAAGTCTGTGTTCTTCATTGTAGCAAACTCCTGTGACCCAACCTTGGAATATCTGAAGGAGGTGATTTCTCCTGAGCTCTTTCATGCTTTCTTGAGCACCATATTTAAGAAGCCAAGGAAAAGTCTGTTCCTGAGGCAAACCACCTTACACTGAGCCTGTACTGAGAAAAGGCTTTTGCTGTATGACTTTAATTCTGAACTAACTATGATTTTTTTCACTGTTCAAGTTGCCTATTACTGCTGTATTTCATCTGTGTTGACAGACTACAAAGATAAGGTGTAGTGAAGTGTTCTTTGAAATAAAATCTTTCTTGAAAGAACTAAGAACTTACTGGAATTGTGTTTGCAAATGTTTCAGTGTTTCTTTCAAGTACTTTAATTGCAGCTGCAGTGAATATGGGAGAAACAGCAATTTTCTGTCCTCTTCCTCCTATTTGCAAATGAGTATTGCGAGTTTGGCTGGGGCTGAAAGGAAACTTGCTATGTTATGAATGTTCTTATTTCTTGCAAATTGCCTTCCTTTCTGGATTGAGATGGGAGCAATCCGTTTGATTAACTCTCTCTCGTATTTACTCATGCTCTAGTGAAATGTAGTCAAAGGGGGGCTTCCTGTTGTCTCCTGATCTTCAGCTATTGAAAGCCGATGCCTACCTTGTCTTCTGAATTTTGATTTGGGGAAAAGGAATGATGGGCCTGAAGCAAATAGGCTAGTGCCTATTCTATGGGCAGAATTCAGGGCCAGGGAAGGACTAAGCTGAGAAATCTTTAGGGAATGGCTGAAGCCAATGGATGAGAAGGGAAGTGGTATGGGTCCAAAAAGGTCAGAGAAAGACAAACTGAAACCTACAACTTTTTTTCAAATCTCATGTGGGCATTGCCTGATGATTCTTTTATATACCTTTGGGATTGGCACTGTTTAGAAATGGCCGTGGGTAAGAATTACCCTTCTGGTTTTAACAGACTTTGAGGTGGGTGCTTGGTCTTTATGATTTAATCTCTACAGTTGGATGATGAGGTAAGCGGGAGCAACTGGGCACTGTAGAGACATTGCAAAGGACTGGTGCCATTTGTAAATGTAGCAGTTTTTGCAGAGAAATGCTGGAGAATGGCATGCTTACAGGTAAGCACCTAATCATGCCTGAACTGAGCCCTTACTCTGCTTTTAAACAGAAGTTGAAGGCTTTAGCTTTATCAGCACTCTGCAGAAATAGCTGAGCTGCCACCAGCCCAAACCACAGTCATCTGATGTTGCTTCTAAGTTAGTAAGTCCTGCTAAAGCAGCTTTGAACTCAGTCTTATTGTCTTTGTGGTAGTGCCCTGACACAGGACTGCTACAGGCTGTTCAGCACCAGTGAACTTGCAGCTTGTAAACTGCTTTGCTCCGGGGGTCTTGTATTTTATTCTCTGAGTGTTCTGTAGCACTCTGGGACATGAGTTATCCGCATGCCCCAGTACAGCCCCAAGAAGAAAGGATTAGGATTGCCTTGCCTTTGATTTAAAGTTTTTTAAATGGGGAGTAAAAGTGCAGCTGAACTTAAAATGAACAAACTAATACTGCGATATTACTGAACACAAACGAAAAACACCATCTGCTTTATTCACCTTTTAAGGACTATATTTACAGGCATCTCAGGGAATTATCAATAAACAGCAGGGAGCAATTATTTCTGTTGAGTTTTAGTGTTTTGCTCATTTATCTGATGATATAAGCAGCTGTGCAAATTGTGGCATTCAAATGGCTCAGAATTAAGTTATTTTCAATAAAATTTTCAATTAAAAAGTTGCTATAAAGTGGAAAATTTTTGGGTTGGTTTTGCATATTATGTCTTTACTTCTGAAGTAATTAAAACACATTTTTCTTGTAACTGTTCATGCTTGCTACCCTGCTATTAAGCATCTGTCTTGAGGTTTAATCTTACAGCTCAGTGTTCAGAAGCCAAATAATGAGGAAAATGCCTTAAATGACTTAATGACTTAAAATGGATATTGTCACACATTTGCAAGAAGCATGTCAATCCCAATTTTTCAAGCTGTTTATACTTATGGCTTTCACTGTAATTTAAAACATCAGTTTCGGTGGTATGGTTTCCTCTCTGTGAGGCTGAGAATGCATTCTCGGGGGAGCAGTCAGCTTTGAATGACCCATCTGGGACCAGTGTGATTACTGTCAGAGAGGAAGACTTGGGTGAAATGAAGCTGGAGCCAGATCTTCAGAGTTATTCTAGGTGACAGATGCCTACACATGATTAATGCAGGTGTCTGTCAAACTCATAAATTACATATGAAAAACCACCTCGTTTTTTTTACTCAAATAACAAGCAACAGCTTTCTCCTTTGAGAAGGTTGCCCTTCACTCCTGCACCCTTCAGAAATGGCTTAGTCTGAAATGCTATGCTTAGTTTGATTGTCAAAATGTTCTGTTAAAAATACTCTTATTTGGGGGACAATTTTAAGACTTTGGAGCTGAAATACTTCTCTGGTTTTTAGGTTGTCTAGCTCAACAGGGCTTGGCCTATACTGATGGACGGTATGAAGAAGTGTGTGGTGAGCTATTCTACACAGCATGGAGATGTCACCTGGAGGATTATTTATGTTGCTGGTGTAGCTGAGCCCCAGAACAGCAGAGGAGCAGTACTCAATCAATCTCTACCTTCTGGCTTTATAGAATCATAGGTTGGAAAAGAGCCCTCTTAAGATCACTGAGTCCAACCATTAACCCAGCAGTGCCAAGTCCACCACTAAATTACATCCTTAAGTGCCACATCTATATGTCCTTTAGACACTACCAGGGATGGGTACCCAACCAATGCCCTGGGCAGCCTGTTCCAGTGTCTGACAACCCTTTTGGTAAAGGAAGTTTTTCCTAATACTTAATCTGAACCTCCCCTGGCACAACTTGAGGCCATTTCCTCTTGTGCTATTGCTTGTTTACTGGGAGAAGAGACTGACCCTTGCTTTGCTACAACCTCCTTTCAAATAGTTGTAGAGAACCTCCTTTTCTTTGGGCTAAACCTCAGCTGCTACTCACAGGACTTGTTTTCTCTTTATCTTCTCTTTCTGTCATGTCTTGTTTGCTTTTTTTTTCTCTGTGGTGACAGATTCATAGAAATTATTTCCAGCTTGTGTTTTGTGGGGTCTAAAACCAGCTAGGCCAAAAGCACACCCAGACAGAAGACCAGGGAGTTATACCAGAGGCAACCCGAATCCGAGAGGCTGTGCTTGTAAACATCCTCTCCTCACCAGGGTAACTAACTCCCAGGGGACTCATACAAGGGATTTCTCCTTCTCTCACTCTGCCTCCTTCTTCAGCATTTTGCATGAGCACTGTGCAGTTTCGAGGTGCACTGCTGTCTCGTATGCGAGGGGATCAGAGCTTCCCTCAAATGGGATGGAAACCCAGAGGGAGATGCCCAAGAAAATCAACATGGAACATCTAATTGGTAAGCCTTGTTTTGTGTGTGTGGCTTTTTTTCTCAATAATAATGAAAAGGACCAGAACTAACCAAACAAAAAAAGCACATTTGATCTCCCACGTAGTCAGGAAATGAAAATTCAGAATCTGCCACTGTGAGTGATTGAGCAAATTGCATCATGCTGCCCTGCCAGCATGTGCCAGCATCTATCTTCTGCCAGCATGATCCCAGGGCCAAAAAGGACTGATTTAGCTATTGATATACTTGTAGGGATGGGGTGGAGAGGGAAAAATATGACTTAAGGAAGGCAGAAGAATTTTTCAGCCCCAAAAGAACATTTAGTGAGGTTGCGCTTGTGTGATGAATACCTACCTGGTGTTCTCTTCAAACCAACTTGTTACTGGCAATGTGTGCTGTTTTCACCGTTGTGTCTGGCCATAGGTGTGGACAGTGCAGTGGGACAAGCATGAGTCTGAGCAGGATTGATTTGGGTGCTAGTAGAAAGCAGGAAGGTACATGGCGATTAAAAAAGCTGAGTCTACTCCATCTTTGTCTGGCTGTAGGAGACTTGGGAGATTTTTGCCCACAGTGAGCTTTTCATTTGCCTTCCAAGTTTGTAACCCACACTGTGATTTTATCTATTAAGTGTGTTTGTGATGTACCCTGAATCTTATGAGTGTCCTGGAGCTTTTCCACAACTGCTGAATGATGAGCTCTCACAGTGCAATCACGCAACAGCTACAGGATGGACAAGGGATCAGACCCAGCCAGCAGGGGGTTAGGAAGGGCAGGTCCTATCTGACCAACCTGATCTCCTTTTATGATCAGATGACCCACCTGATGGATGAGGGAAGGCTGTGGATGTGTCTACCTGGACTTCAGCAAAGCCTTTGACACCGTCTCCCACAGCATACTCCTGAAAAAGCTGGCAGCCCACGGCTTGGACAGGGGCACTCTCTGCTGGGTTAGGAACTGGCTGGAGGGCCGGGCCCAGAGAGTGGTGGTGAATGGTGCTGCATCCAGTTGGTGGCCAGTCACTAGTGGTGTCCCCCAGGGATCAGTGTTGGGCCCAGTTCTATTTAATATCTTTATTGATGATCTGGATGAGGGGATTGAGTGTACCATTCACAAATTTGCAGATGACACCAAGCTGGGGGGGAGTCTTTATCTGCTGGAAGGCAGAAGGGCTCTTCAGAGGGACCTGGACAAGCTGGAGAGATGATCTGATTCCAGTGGGATGAGGTTCAACAAGACCAAGTGCTGGGTCGTGCACTTTGGCCACAACAACCCCATGCAGCGCTACAGGCTGGAGACAGAGTGTCTGGAGAGCAGCCAGGCAGAAAGGGACCTGGGAGTTTGGATTGACAGGAAGCTGAACATGATTCAGCACTGTTGTTGGATCAAGAGTTGGACTTGATGATCTTGGAGGTCTTTTCCAACCCAGTTGATTCTATGATTCTATGATTTTGCACATTCTGTACCAAGAGCATTACAGCTCTTGGTTTTCTCTGGACTATAGACCCAAGTGAGGGTTTTGGGTGATTATGGCTATTGTAATCCATATACAGGCATGGCAAACCCAGGTCACTGATATGCTGGATTGTGACTGATTCTTCATTATTGTGTTTTCTTAGAATCTTTCATTTGTCTTGTAGTTAAATGGTTTGAAACTTAAATGGGGTAATCAGAGGAGTTAAATGGGGTAATCAGAGAAGATCTGGTGTTCTTTGGGGAGCTAGGAGCTTCATTCACTCTGAAGAATGCATACATTCATATCCTGCTTTTTGAATTGGAACCTACATTTTTAGCTGGCATAGGACAATTCTCATGGATTCGATTGTACTTTATTCAAGATTTGGGTGCATGCTTTTTGCCCATCGTGGTGAGGGGTGATATCTTGACCCCTACTGCTTCTCAGCTGCTTGAGCATCAATCTGCTGAGTGCAGGCATTTGTTCCCAGCTATTCCCCCTGTCTGTGGATTGTGTCATTCCCACCAGGTATCTTCACAGCAGGATCAGGTGGATGACGGCAGACTCAAAATTGCTTTTGAGGAGATTCTTCGTAACCAAGTTTGGCACAGAAGAAAAAGATCTTCAGACATTTTCTGTAAGCTAGTCATTTTGGTGAAATGAAGAGAGAGACTAAAAATATTGAGTTCTGTTGAAGTGAACAAAACATCCTTTCATGATTAATTTCCCCAGGTTTCAGATTCAGAATTATGAATTATGCCCATTCCATGAGTTTCATTGATCTCTTTCTACTGACTAAAAGACACTGGACTGCTGGTACTTTGTGTACCTGTTGTAGCCTGACACATCACTAGTGTAACATGAAGTACACTATGTGGCAAACACAGCAGTGACAGTGTTAAAGATTTTCGCATTAAATCCTAAAAATTCTGTCTTCATACACATGGCCTTAAAGTTTGCATGGTAATTTGTTCAGGGCTGCTCCTCAAATCATTTGTACCACTGATTGCAGAATGCCTGATGATACCTCATGAAACAAATAGGGATTTAAAAATGCTGTTTTTTTGAAAGGATGAGGAGGAAAGCTGAGCTCCCACTACAACAATTCTGTGCCCAGCTCTCATGGAGGCCTGAAACTGGGCCCTCTTGGGCACACGTGTTTAAGTATGAGTGATTAACTCTGCAGCAGGTACCTCAAAGTAGGATGGGCAAAACTGCGAGCAGCAAAGGGCTTGATGTAACACCCAGGTGTGCAGCTACCATTACTAGCAGGCTCAACCCAACCATGCACAGATAGGAGGGGCAGGAGCCTCAGGAGGGCTGTGCTGTATTTTCTCCTCTGGGGTTGCTGGGAGTTTTCTGACAAACGTGTCAGTCCTGCTCTACTGGTCTGTTAGCTTGTGCCTTACAGGTGAGGGAGCCTCATGCTGTTTCCATGGTGGTGACAAGTTGGTTTTTTTCAGACAGTATAAATTGAATTGTTTCCTATTTATCAGTTTCTATCAGCATGTGAATTTTCTTTGATGTCAGAAATTGCCAGTGCTACCCTATACCTTTCAAATAACTTATCCAAAACACCTTGCACCTTTCCATCAGCATGGCAGAGCTTCTCTGAGGAGACCTCTGAGACTTTGTCCCTTTGTCCTGCTTCTTCCTCTTGCACTGGGAAAAGTACGCTGTGGTGTTCAGCTTCCCATCTGCTGATGCTCGTGCCTGCAAAAATCCTCTTCTGGCCCAAACCAGGCAGCTAGGCAGCCCCTAGGATTATCTCATCCTGCATCCCTGCTGCTTTCCTTGTGACTCTCCTGATGCTTTTCTACATTTAGCAAAATTCAGTTGATCCTACAGCACTCTGTCCTGATGGCAAGACTGTCCGATTTCCCTCCTTGCCTATTTTTTGAGGATGTCAGCAACTCCAGCCGCTCTTCTCTTCAAAGACCAGCTGCTCCTTGGTCACACTTTTCTTTGCAGAGAGCCTCCTGAACTTTTAGCATTTGAACAGCTGCTCACTACTGCCTTCCTTTCAGGCATCAAAATAATGAAAATTATTTTTATATAGTTTTTTTATTTCATTGTAATGAAATTTTGGGATGAGACAAGCTCAACTCAACAAGACAACTGCTTAAAATGCATGAGTCTGCATTTTGACAAGCAGTAATTTTGAAGTTTATGGTTCACTGAATGAACTGATCCATCAATATTCTTCAAAACCTTCATGTAAAGGAAGCAATAGTTCCTCTTGTTTTCCTTATTACCTGTTTCATACAAACTAAATATTTTGCCCCAGCCATGGTGCACTGACAGATTCATACTCAGGGATACTCCACCCAAGGTTTTTAATTTTCCTTCACAGCCCCCAGCTTTGGCAATATCTCACAATTCTTTTCACTTTTCATTTTTGTTTCAATTTGCTGGTGTTTCTTACATTGTTTAGAGGAAGTAGCACAGATCTTCCAAATTGCATGTAATGTATAAAATCATTAATGATCCTTTCTACAAGAAAGGAAGAGGATGGCCATCATGTATTAATGCAGAAGAAATTAATTCAAGTTATGAGATTCGCTTACTGTCGAAACTGTGGTTTAGAGGCTATGTACAACATTTTACCCCAGTTTAAAAATTGGTGGTGCTGGAGAGCTGTCTTGAAGTAATTCCTCAGGGTAACAACAAGAAAATCAAAAGAAATTCTTAGTTTCTTTGAATTATCAGAGCCTTCGCCTCACTAAGGGGTAAAAAAAATAATTCCCCATCCTAGGCAAAGGATGTGTTATCAGATCCTTCTCTAGTTCTTTACGTTTCTCGAATGCAGATTCTCACGAAAGATGCTGTTACTGCCTAAGTTGATGGGTGGTGTACTACAGGATCTACAGTGCTGTCAACACTGTTGCTAACATCAGTGATGTCCACTCAGCGACCTTGCTTTTGGCACAGACAACCCTGAGAAACATTCTGGGTTCACAGAGCTTGGCTCAGCTGCTGGCAGGTCATGAGGAGATTGCACGAATTATCCAGGTAAATCTGGCTCTCAAAATTCACTGACAGGCACTGACAAGGGAGATGTGTTCTGGGGAGTAACAAATTAGAAATACTATCTTTTTCTTTTTTGAATAATGATAACAAAATCTCCCTTTATTGTTTTTTCAATTACACATCTCATTGCTTAGAGTCAGAAAGAGTTATTCTAAAGGTATTTCCCCAGGTTCTTGTAACAGAGTTATCTCCTATCAAAAAGCAATTAAGATTTTGAAATTATCCAGTGACCTAAATAAATCAGTTTAGTCTTGCACAGAGGCCGCTGCAAGCATGGAGAAATGTTTGCTGCTTGTGGGAAGCTCTGTCTTGAGCAGACTCTTGATTGAGGCAAGGCTTGTATCTCCTGTCATCACAATTAAGAGTACAGAACCAGTTGTTTTGTGCTTTAAAATACCATCTGGTTCCTTTCTTTATTTGGCAGCCAAGGAAGGAGCAGAGAAGAAATCCAACACCTGATTTACTATTTTCAGTCAGAGACAAGGCATAGTCAAATCAAAGAGAGACTCTATCCCTCTCCAGCAAGAAGAGTGGCCTTGGGCAGAGCCAGGGTCATGGTGGTGGCGTGAACTGCAGGAGTGCCCAGGAGCCAGAGCAAAGAAGATTGTGTCAGTGCTGCAGGGCTGTGCTGTGTCTTTCACCCATAGTGTACTTTTACGTGCTTTTACAGTGTTGTGCTGCCAAGGAAGTTGTTGTAGTATTTCTTTGTAAAAGGGAGAAGTTTGGTAAGTGCCCAACTAAAGCACAGGGATCGTAATTTAGGAGGTAGTAGAGAAGCCACACAGGTGACACTGGTGTTGCTCAGCAGGTGTTTCATAAGGTTGTGGTACTCACCATACGCACACTGTGCTCAGTGTTCGTGTCTCTGGAGGGTCTGTCTGCTGTCCAGGTTTGCATGCTGCCTGTCCTTCTGTCCAAGTAGCAGGGTACATCGTGTGGCTTTCTCACTGCACTCTTTGTGGTGTGTTGTGTGTTTATCCCCAAGGCTATCCTCAACAGTGCCATGGAGCAGTGGGGAGTCAAAGCAGCCCGTGTGGAGATCAAAGATGTCAGGATTCCTGTGGCCATGCAGAGGGCAATGGCAGCTGAAGCAGAGGCTGCTCACGAGACAAGAGCTAAGGTGAGACCCACAACAATGTCTATCCCCAAGCACCCGTTTCCTTGTCATAAAACCATAGAATTGCTTGGGTTGGAAAAGACCTCTAAGATCATTGACTCCAACCATTAACTCAACACTGCCAAGTCTACCACTAAACCATGTCCCTAAGCACCACATCTACATGTCTATTAAATATCTCTTGGGTGGGTGACTCCACCACTTCCCTGGCATCCTGTTCCAGTGCTTGACAACCTAACTTTTTTCCGATATCTAATCTAAACCTGGAGCAACTTGAGGCCATTTCCTCTTGTCCTCATGTTCCAGGAATCCAAGTGCTTGCTTGTTTTCTCATTATAAAGTGGGTTTTCCCCACTAAGAGCAGTGTCACCATGGCATTTCCATTTCTTTTCCTTTGCAGGTTGTGGCAGCAGAACAAGAAACGAATGCTTCTAGAGCTCTCAAGCAGGCCTCCATGGTGCTGTCTGAGTGTCCAGCAGGTCTTCAGCTGCATTACCTGCAAATGTTAACAACCTTGGCAGCAGAGAATAATTCCACCATTGTCTTCTCTCTCCCTATGAATATGCTTGGGAGTTTGGGGCAGAAAAGTAGAGGGGGATAGAGACTGTTCTAGGGTAGCTCCTTAGCCAGAGATATTTAAAGGTTTCCTCAGGAAGCCAGGGGTTCCAGATTGCCAGAATTAAAGTAGAAGCATGCTTGGGTCCTCTGTCCCAAAAATAAGAGTAAAATTAGTTTCATAATCCTATATAGCTCCCACATTATGCGTCTGCATTTGCAAAGATAGACACTAAGCAGTTTCAGCTTAGCTTATCTTCAGTAAAATAGAAGAAAATATGTAAAATGCATATGTGATGGTTTCAGTCTAGGCCTTCCTGGAAACCAGCTTGTAACCAGGAAGGAACTAGGAAGGTGACCAAGGAAGTATTCCATGCTATTCCTTTACGTAACCTAGGGTATAAATAAGGCATTGATAAGATAGTTCGCTCTCTTCCTTTCCGGCGAGGTTCGAGAACGGTGGGTCCCTGTTTCGGTCGGGCTTATCTGGAGCCGAGGCCTACAGTGACTGCTGTTATCTGCCACCCGTGAGGGGAGAGCCAAGGGCCGTGTCTAGCCATCCTGCCTGTTCGAAGGGAAGTGGTGAGATTTTTGCTAGTTTGCCTTCGGCTGGTTGTTTGACTTGTGCGGTCCTTGCCCCTTTTTGTCCTTCTCCCTTCCCTTCCCCCCCCCCCCCCCCCCCCCCGGTGTGTGGTATTCTCCTTTTGTGTATCTGTCTCATATGTAAAACATATATATATATATATATATTTTTGCTATAGCTTTGGCTGCTTGTTTTTTTTCTTTTCCCTCTCTGGGAGGCAGGTCCTTGTTGTCGAGTTTTGGGGGACTTGGCGGGAAGCCAGCTTGAAACTTGCACAACATTTTTGGTGTCAGAAGTGGGATACGAACCTACGCCTCCATACGGAGACCAGAACTATCATAACATTTTAATGATGCTTTCACCACATCATTTTACAGAGTCTTGAGTGGAGCAATTATTTGGTGTTTGTCTGCTTAGCAGGAACCTCTGACCTGTCAGATACTGGCATTTAGCTCAAGTCCTGTGAAGTGGAAAAGATGGACTTAGCTCTTAACCTTAGAGATATCTTTTCATAAATATTAGCAGAATTACTATATAATTGGTATGTTGGTGGAACAGGCTACTCTTTATTTTGTATTAGTAGAAATTAGTACTTGCTTTACTAACCTCAGCTGTATTTTGCCATATGACTACATTTATTTGAGTTCTGTAATAAAAGAAAGAGAATATATGACCAGGTATTACAGTCATATTTCCTAAATATGAAAGTTGGAGCAAACCTCAAGGTCCTCTGTTAATTTAAGTGTCTGTCTTACACCTTCAGTAGGTTTCTTATCCTCCTTTGCACATATCGTGAAGCAGTGATACAAGTTTTTGTAAAATGAGCCTTCCCACCCTCCATCCATGCAAATCCTGGCAGCTGAGAAGAGGACGTTGCTGATATTCGTGTTTAGCTGACATTAAATTTGAGTTTGCAGCCTTCAAAAATAGCTGGGTACCTCACAGTGCGAGCGCACAGCAATGAACTGTCTGGGTCTGACAGCTGTTCTGGTAGGTGCTTTTGCCATGTAACTTCTTGTCCACACAAGGCTCACTGCTGCCCCTCCTGTCAGTGGAGTAATTTGACTCCAAATTAACAACATCAGCATGAACCTGCTAATTGTCATATCATTGATACAGGCCCTTTTATTTTTACTGCAGTGTACACAAGGAGTCCGGGTGGCAAATATTTGTGCTCAGTAGCTGCTGGCAATGTAGTAGATAGGCGATGGTATGAGCAGCTGAGGATGGTGACCTATTCAGCAAACACAGCTTTTTGTTGCAGCTCTTCTCTGCTTCAGATATAACTGCCAAATGACATCTTTCTGGCAAACTAAAGTATAACACCTGTATTTGCAAGTCATCTGCTTATCAGTGTTATCAAAACACTTTCTACAGATTTTTTTCTTATCTTAAGAAAAGAGAAGTTTTGAGTTTTGGGATAATTTTTCATTGTCAACTGCTTTTGATATTTGTGGAAGCCACAAAAGTGATATAAAGTATATATATACAGCCTATTTTAAGCCCAGGAATGTCCAGTCTTCTTTCTGACCCATGGAAATTTCTTGACGTCTTTTTCTGGAAGGCAGGAATTAATCAGCTCTACAAGCACAATGTTTTTTCATTTGACCCTCCACAGGATAATTGCGCTGTTATATAATGGATCAGGAAGACAGAAATTCCTACTCTCTCTTTGCCAGTGTCAGGTACAATAAACACAATAACTAGTAGAGTAACTGCAATTTTTGTTGTATTACTCCCACACACAAATCTACAAGGAATACCTCAGAGAGCAAAACAGCAATGGAAGCAGCCCTGCAAGGTTTCAGGTGCCACTTGGGTGCACATTCTTTGCAAAAAAAATTCAGGAAGGAGGCAAGCTGCAGTCACAAAGAATAGGATGTGTGGATCAGAGCAGGCACAGGCTATCAGATGTGTTCAGGAAGTCCTGCAGGTGAGCACAGCTTTGCCGACGCAGGGTGCTGCGGCACTCACTGGTGCCTGGAATTTTCTCTACCCAGGCTTGTGCATCAAGGAAGTACTGCATCCTGAATGAAAATGGGACAGATAAAGAAGATGAGTCATTATTCCTGACACGGAGCAATGCGAAAGCATAATCCCTGAGATGCTGCATCCCTCCACTGAGGCATCTCTGAGATCAGGAGATATACTAGCCAAGAAACTTGCCTGAAACTTAGTTTCACCAGCAGGTTAACTGAGCTTTGAATAAAGTTTGGGAAGTGTCGGCACCAAGCTGGGACAAACCTGGCTGTACTGGTGTTTTGAGAGTGTCAGGTAAGCTCGGGCTAAGTTTCTATTAGAGTTTTCCAGAATGGCAAAAAAGGCCCCAGTGCACATCAGTGGGACACAGTGAGGGGCAATTTAGTTTCAACAGTGTCCCAAAATGTTTCCTAATTTTTTGTGCTGAGAAGCTGTGTTACTTCAAGTATTTTACAACTGGCCTGGAGAAGACTTTGGAGGTTACACCTCTTCCAGGAGACCCCACTCTTTAGCAGGCTTCTGCTGAAGAAGGCCCCTTAGACACTCACTTTGGTGTCATATAGAGATGGGGGTGGGACTTTTTAAGGTTTTAGGAAGTGGCGCTCACAATTTGATGGAGGTCTCCCCCCTAGAAGCTTTCAGAGGCACTACCTTTCTCCACTTCTGTGAAAGGAAATGAAACACTTAAGATATCTTCCTCCCTGAATACTTGATAGTGTCAGACTAAATTCCTACACAAATAAATTGTCTTTTTTTATTGAAGAGTGACAATGGGAAATGAGAAGAATATGCTGTTTACATGCATGATATAACAGAAACTTTGTGGTCTGCTCTTAGTCATTGTTCTGCTCATTTCTTTTGCAAACACAGGAGTTGTTTAAGGCATCTGCAGTAGGTGGACTGTGTAGCTTTTCCCATTCTCCTTTTCCAGCTGTGAAGTTTAACCCAATGGAATCAGGGCCAGACAATTCTGAGAAGTCTGGAAACCAACCTCTGCACAGACACATGAGCCGACATTTTGGTGGCTCAGCTGTTCCCCACAGCTACCCTTTTGCCTATGGAGTGGAACTCTTTGCTTTTTAGTAAATTCAGCAGAATTAGTCTCTGAGAAATTTGGTCCTGCCTTTGCTTTCTGGAAGTATTCTAATAGATTTAGTATCCTCTGGATTTATGGTCTGTAGTAGCAGCTGCTGCTGCTCAAAAACCATTGCACTTACTTGTTGTTGCAATCGACTGTTTCCCCATCTTTCCCCATGAGGAGGTACTGTTTGCCAGGGACCATGTTTAACTTGCACGTGGAGCGTGTTAGGAACTGTCGGTGGGCACCCACTTGAATGCTTTCATCATCAGCTGCAGGACAAGAAAAGAAAACCCCATGAACTTTTCTAATAAAGAGTAGAACTGTAGCCCACAAGGCACAACCCTTTGGGATCATTTGCCCCACTGCCCCACTCCCATATTTCACTTGGGATTTGAAGCTTGACATGGGGATAAATGTCCATGCTTTGATAGGATATGTTTCCTGTAGCATTACCTGAGAAAAAGTAAGCCACTTTTGCCTTAGCTGGTTGTCTTGGCCTCTGCAGTAGTTATTGAAGGAGCTGTTTTGCTATAGATCTTAGGACTTTTCAGACCTTCTGGAGTTTGTTTAAATCTCAGAGATTGAAGGAAAAGCCAAGGAAAATAGAAAATGTGCTGCCTTCTACTTCAGATTTCTCAGGCTCAGAGTGGTCTTAAAAGCTAGGATACTAAATTCAAATATCTTGTGGCTTAACAATGCAGCAGATAGTATTAAAATCTCACTCTCTGTAGTATATTTGACCTGAACTTCACTGATGTAGCCTTTACACCTTTCCCTCTAATCTAATACATAGGACATGCTCCTGGTGATCTCCATGTTAAAATAATTTAGAAGATTCTGCTCTGGATCCTGGCCCAGAAGATTATTCATTCAGAACTGCATTGCACACTAGAAGTGAGCATCCAAGGCAGACGAGATGGCTGCTCTGGTACTGCAATGACATGAGAGCTGGAAAGATGCTTATTCATCAGACCAATTTCAGGCCATGAAGATATTGTGTTGTTTAACTAGGACAACAGTTTTCAAAGTCCATTTGGAAAAAAATGCAAATAACTCCAATATTCTACTTGCTTACTCTCTTTCTAACTATAATTTGAAATGTCCTGGTGATAAATTCAATATTAAACCAGCTTGAATTACAGGTAAGGCACCACAGTCTTTCTAACAGTTAACAGAAACTTGTGCAGCTTCTGCTCTCTAAAGTATTATATTAAAAGTATGGGAAGTCTAGTATTCAAAATAAACCCCTAAAAGTAGATTAAAAACCTGAAGTAGAATATTTCGACATTAATAAGATTTCAGAGAATTTGACATGGACTGTGCAACCTAGCTTTAAGAACCTTATCTACTTCCTTAGTAAAACTTACACTGATTTTACAAATAGTACTTATACATCTACATTTTTCCAAAGAATAATAAGTACTTCAGGTTTTCTCACATAACCCAAGACCTTTTTGTTGTTCCCATGGTACATGGACTGAATTTTCATTTTGTTCATGGAATGCAAAAATGGATCAGAACTTGAGAAAATTATCTTATTCCTCAGGTTCATTGGGCTTAAATTACCAAGGTGTTTCTCGGTTCATATGCTTCACAAATACCCTAATGAAATTGAGACTGTGGCAATTGTAAGCATTT